CGGTGCATTCTTTCCACCACGGGGCCCCCAGAAACTCATCCCCAGCAGCACTGTGTGGGGCTAATGTTCAGCTGAGGTAGCTGGGTACCAAAAGCTGCCTGTGGTCCTAGAGACTCTCCACCTGCCCCAGAACTCTCAGGGAAAATTGATAGAAATCTGCTGAAGGCAAACTGAGCAACTTCCAGCTTGGCTGTGTGATCGCACTGATCCAACTCCTCCACCATTAGGCAGTCATCAATCATTTTTCCACCTCACTTATGGCCAAATTCCACTCTCAGATGTGCATTTGTAAATCCTGTTGACGTCAGCAGTTAGTGGTGTACCAAAAGAGAAGAATTTAACTCTTCATATAGTTTCCTCCACTTTCTTAAGGTCCTTTTTACCTTTCCTGAGGCAAGATTTTTTTTCCCTAGCATTATGTGTAGGTTTAAACATCGTAAAACATTAAAAAGGCTGGCATCATTGCTGTAAGGTACCACCTCACTGAGCCATATGCTTTAAAACTTTCTAAAGCTGGTGGCAATTCCTTTACATTCCTGTTTTGTTTGGTATGAGATACCCCGTTAGGGAACAGAGCACACTGGCAAACTTAGTTCACAGAAGCTTCAGGGAACAAAAGATGGAATCTTATGTCTTGGAACTTGCTAAAAGAGAGCCACAGAAGGGTCTGTTTAAAAAAAAATGTTACAAAAATTCAGCATTTTGGGGTACCTGGCCATGAAATCTCAAGTTATCCAAATGGCCATATCTTTAGAAACTAGGCTGTTTATAATAAATAGAAGTTCATTATATGTGACTGAATTATAGGCTAGGAACTAAACAATCTTCCTGAGTATTTAGTTTCTTGGTGTATTTTTGAGGGCTAGGATGAGTTCTGGTGAGTCCGTAGGTGTATTAGAGAGATATATTCTAGTCCTGAGAGTCACAATTCTGTTTTGTTGGAGTCTTTCTTCTCAAGCTAGAAATGAAAATGTTCTTTAAATTTCAAACGTGGGAAGTGTCCTGGCTAGCTTTTATGTTCATTTTCAACGGTGCAGTTTATCATTGATTCAACAATTTCAAATAAATTTTGGAACTGACTCTGGGTTGTGTGGCTGAAGTGGGAAGATATTGTTAATCTTTGGACGTCAGCTATTCCTACCAACTAGCTTTACTGTCTGTAAAATGTAGTCTTGCAGAGGTGGGTCACCATGACAAGTCAGGATTTCCCCAGAAAGGCCTTGCATACTCTTAGAGGTCCCAAAGTGTTTAATGGAACATCATCATTGTCTCTAGGAGCAATAAAAGAAAGGGAAGAAAAAGATAATAAAAATAAGGATTTGGTCCTTCACAGCTCCCTTCAAAAATCTGGATTTCTTCTCTTCCAACACAGCTTTCTATTAGCTGAACCTGATTCAGAGCCAACAGCTGAATCCACACACTGTAGGCTGCAGCTCAGCTGCACAGTAGTATCTTTACTTCTGTGCCAGCTAGGGTTATTACTGAGTTTTCTAACTCCTGCTATAAATAAAGCCTTGTCATCTAAGCATTCAATTTAAATACCTCTCAGTTTATTTTTGAACACTGGAAGTTAATAATAAATATCATCTTTGTTTTTTAATTTTTTTACTGAGTTGATTTAAATGCTCTTGACAGCTCCAATCCAATCCTCCCATCCAAGCTGACAAGCATGACATGCATCTCTGCATACAAGCTCTCAATTATGCATAATCCAATGTTTTCTAGGGTTTTAATTGAATCACTAGTCTCAAACTTGTTATTTTTAATTTACAACATTTGATTTCTGACACCGGCCCCTCTATGTCATAAATTATGCAGGCAAGAGACTTAGTTGTGTGGGTGATTAAAAAAAACTAATTAGGCATGATTAAAAAAAAATAAAACAGAGACCTCTTAAATATGTGCATGTTACCATGTAAGAGAGGCTTATTTCACTGGAAATGCTTGGGTGATTTTTTTTTTTTAAGAGATTATGTTCAGTTCAGTAAAATTTGATTGATTTTGACAGAAATGAAAGAAAATGTAGGACTTTTTCTTCCTTTATATATACCAGAAATTGCATTACATAGCCCGTTGATGCGAATTTCTCCCACAGCTCATTGAATGTAATTTTGTTAAGTGGGCAGGAAAATGAATATGAATAAAACTGAATAGAATCCAACATTTTCCTTGGCACCAGCAGCAAAGCTGAGACATGGCATATATGGATGTAAATATATGTGTATATATATATGTGAGGTACAATTAGCAGCATTAACCTTTCATGCCTCAGCTGATAACAGCAAGAAGGAAAATATGCAGAATGTTAAACATCAGTAAAATGTAGATAGTAGAGGAATGATGTGTCTACACAGGCTGTACCAGTACAGCAGCAAATTAAAGGAAAAGAATGGTTTTCTCTTAAAGCAAGAAGTTACAAATGTACTTGCTACATGAATTTACAGACATTTATTGTTATTATTCAATAACAGGTTAAACCTGGCTATTTTAAATACACTGTTTCAAAAAGTATATAATCTCCTCCCTTTTTAACGTGGTTTTTTTTTTTCCAATAATCTGGGGAAAAAATGAGGAAGAATCATTTCTTCCCTCCAGCTGTTCCACATTATCTCTATGCTCTGAGCCTTGAGTCAGCGCACCAAGGACTTACACAGTACAGCTGCTCTATACCCCTAAATCAGGCTATGATGATAACATGAATGAACTAAAGAGTTGCTTCATCAGAAACTTCCAGTTCAGGAAAGAATTTAAATTTTTGCTCAATGCTAGACTTGTACATATTTCCAGCAACGCTGCTCTTCCACGTGCATATCACCGTATGCTTATACAGTTTCCTGGATTAGGACCAAGGACTCAGATGGAGGTGCCTGAGGAAGAGCTGGCAGATTTGTTAGTCCTAACACCCTTAACAGGTTTAAAAAATCATGGGGCTGATTGAAAATTCAGGATGATCAGTTGATCCTCAACAAAATTCACTGTATATTCTGGGGCTGAGATGACATTTCACCTGTATCCAGGGGGAAGGAAGGCAGTTCACAAGAACAAGGGTCTTTTCAACTGCTGATGTCCTCAGAAACATGACATTGAATAGTTGTGGTCTTTTCACTGTGAGGAAGCCTCACTGGAAGGAAGACAAGCATGTTGGAAAGGGCTGGGAGGACACAAGAATGGAGGGCTGAGCCCATGCTGTTATTCTACAGTGGGCAAAGCTACTTTGGCAGTTCTTCACCAATGTCTGTAAGACTGCCAACAAGCCAGAAACTGGTAAGCAAAAGCAAGAGAAAAATCTATCCCTCCAGTTCAGCCATCCTGGGGTACCACCAGGGTTCTGAGAGACCGTGACAAGTGGTTGTTGTTCTTGGCATATCATCTTCATGAACATCCTCAGCTGCTGCCTGCTGCTTCAGATGGTTAACAGAGATACTGCAAATCAAAGCTGGTTGAATTTTTCTGAAAATTGAAATGCTTGCTAATAAGCTATAAAGAAAAAGTTTAATGTTTGTAAATATATTTTAATTGATACCCAGACAGCTTTTTTTGGATGAAGAAATATGAGTGCTTAGACATAGAAGAAGAGATCTGACCTCTTTTCAAAGTGATCCTCCTGCAACTCCTGAGAAAGATTTGTAATGTACCCTGGTAATGGAATTGGTAATAAACTGTGAGAATAGGATGACACCATGCTGAAACTTCTTACCTTTTACTACCTCAGGGCCGGTCTGGACTGGCCAGATATCTGTTTAAAAATTTGGAAAGGGCTTATAGATTCCTAAGGAGAAATCAGTGGAAAAATCAAAGACCTATCTGCAGTCTCAAATGTTAGAAGAGATACCAAAATACACATATTAAAGGTAGAATAGATGTCCTCTGTTCCTGTTTACATGTGTTCCTATCTGTCTTCTAATTCTAAATTCTGTATTCAGTTACTTTGCACAGTCTTAAAAACTCAACTAGAAATGCTCAATACTTCTGCATTTCAAGTCCTATTTAAAAGGGGATTTTCTAACAAAAATGGATTTAACCAAAACTTTTTTTTTTTATTTTAACCAGCAAAATATAAGGTTTCACTCAAAAGAGACAGGATATGTTGCAGAAGAGGTAATTAGAAATTAAACCATGCACCACCAAAAAACTCTTCAACCATTGTGGTCAAAGTGGTTATAAATCTCCTAAAGTCTGTAATATAGTTGTCCTTTGTATTAGTGCACAGGGATTAGTGTAAGAGGTGAGGGAGAAACAACTTCCTTCTCTTGGGTAACGTCCCCTCAAAAACTTACTAAATCAAAACAAAACAGTAAAAGTGTTATAAAAATAATAGAATTTGTGGAGAACTTGACAGTGCCATAATTTTCTTTACAACCTCCTTCAGCCAAAAAGCTCCTAAAATAAAAACAAAACTAAAAGCAATCCAAGGCTTAAGACTGGATCACCTTCAATCCTTTAATATAAAAGGCAAACCCACATCAAGTAAAGTTGTTAAGAAATCTGTCAGGTATTTTAAGCTTTAAACTAGACAGGTTGTAATTCCAGATACTCTGCCTCAGTTCAACTCTTGTAATAACTAGAAACCTTTCTTTAATATCTCTGTGAGCTTTTTCTAAAGACATGTTCTGTTTCCTGCTTTGTCCTTCCACATATATAACTGGTCTCCCTCTCTAGTCTTTACTGTTTAGGGGTACTTTTGGACAGCTATCCTATTTCCTCGCTGTTTCTGTATGTCTTAATATAAATTCAAATATACGCAGATACCTACATATGCATCAATAAAGACCTTTTTCTTTTCACTTTACACTTTCTACTTTTGAACATGAAAATAACACTTTTCTTCACTTAGCCTAGAACTGAAACCAGGTATTCACTAAGACAATGTTACTACTTCCATTGCAGGATAAAAGAGAAGGATACATACGCAAGAAAACCCCTATATAATGTCTGTGCCAGTAATATCCTTACATTCAGGTATGATTTCCAGGAGAAAGCACTGCTCTGAACTTCCATGGCTCAGTTGGGGTCAGCTGTCCCAGCTGTGTCCTCTCCCAACTCCTTGTGCGCCTCCAGCCTGCTCACTGTTGGGGTGGGGTGAGAAGCAGAAAAGGCCTTGACTCTGTGTAAACACTTCTCAACAATAACTAACACATCCCTGTGTCATCAACACTGTTTCCAGCACAAATCCAAAACACAGCCCCATAATAGCTACTATGAAGAAAATTAAACCTACCCCAACCAAAACCAGCATAATGGGAAAGAAGTTAATTTCCACTGAAGAATAAAAAAAAATTAAAAAAAAATTGTGATCAGATTAGAAGATTTCAACTGAGTGCCTGCATTTAGCTCTTCTGCATACTTCTGCTTCTATGAACATCATGGTATTATATAGTGGAGATAAGGGAGGCCAGGTTCAGTGCCTGTGAAAAGAAAAATACTGAAAACAAGTAGGAACTACTTCCACGCCAGGTCTGCATTTCACTTTCCTGTGATCTCACCTGTACGAGGATTGTGGCATCCAAGTCATATATCATGCCTTCTTGTAAGAACGATTTCCACTCATCCTGCCAGGCATTTATTTGTCTCATGAGCTCTGTATACAGACTTGGTTCTCTGTATGGGACCATTAGCAATGAACTGTCATTTCAACAAAAGAAAAGAAAATATAAAAAGCTTGGCAAACATAAAAGTAACTACAACTGCAAAACTTTTCTCTGTGTTTCTTCAATGAAAATTTAGATACTTACATTATTGTTACTTGAGGACGCTGTAGGATGAAGTCCCTTCTCTAATGAAAAATCTTAAAGGAAATGCAATCAATCCTAATAGGCACTTTTTTTTCTGTGATGAGAAGGAAGACTGTGGCAGCTAAATTCTCTGAATTACCTAAGTTATTCTGGAATAAATCACCCACAACTCTAGAACATGTTAGCTCTCTAAACCTGTCAGTCATGATCAGCAAATTTTTAAACACTAGAATACAGAAGAACATGGCTTTGATACGCAAGCCCTTGATATAGGTGCCGCAACTTCAACACCAAAGATGTATGGTTCCTGCAAGCATGTGAGATGAAATATTATACCAAAAACCCTCCACTGTTATTCCTTGAAGACTTCTCAGCAAGGATTAGAATATACATATTTCATGCAAAAATTAGACTTAAAAAACAAAATGGCTTTTATTTATGAGTAGAGAAATCCAAAAACCTAGAGTTGCTACCTTTACTTAATGCCAGGGCCATGAAAATGCAATGATCTGAAGAAATTCACACTTTCTTCTCTGGGGGCACTGTTACATGCTCAAAAAAGTCAAATTGCAGTTACCTGAGCTTGCAAATAATTTATACCTATCATTTGTCTTATAGTCCTAGCATTTTCCTGCTGTGCTGACCACCTATATGTGGATATATGTTGCAGCAGTCATGTTCTTGACGCAGTCACTGAAAGAGAAGAATACGTTATTTGAGAGTATTTGAAATATCCAGGACTAATCTGCCCAGCAAAAACTACAAGCTCATACACTGAAAAAAAAACAACAAACCCAAAACAAACAGAAAAAAAACCCTGCTTTTCCAAAGTATGAAATCATGAGTTACAAAGTCATTTTTTCAAATGTAACAACTGACTACATAAACCAGCAAGGAATCCCCACGGATTGTCACTTATTTAATTCCTCTTAGCAAATAAATGAGTATAAAAAAATCTTTTAAGAAAGAAATTGCCGACACCTGTACTCCACAGCAAATATAATCATGGAAGAGCACATTTTAGAAAACATTATTCTCCCTATTGTCACTTTTGATATTTTAATATTTTAAATATTAAACTTCCACGGCCTTTTCATCATAAATATCAAAATGTTATTAGTCAACAAGAACTGAAATATATTCATAACCTGATCTTATCATTACCAACTGTATCGCAAAGGACACATTTTTCTGATGTCTTATATATATTTTCCCATGAAAAAGAGTAGGGAAGATTTAAATTAAAAAATGCTTTCTATCATGCAGTGAAATCTACACTTTTCAGTGCCTATGATTTTCATTTCAGCACAATTGCTGCAAAATCCAAGCTGAAATCTAAATTACAGTTATCTCTGTTAAACAGAGGCTATTTGCAATCATTCCAACATTTTCAACACTTTGGCTGAAGGGATAAATGTGTCAGTATCTTTCTTCTTTAAATTTATGTATTAGAGGTTAGACAGAAAAAAAGGAAAACTCATTAGATCATCCAGTTCGTCCTGCCAATCTCTGTACCTATCATGTCTATCAAGTACTGCAGACAGCTTCTGGGTGTTCTCTGCATAATATATTGGCAGAATATGACCCAAAGTTTTTGTTTTCTTACTAAACGTCACCAAGATAAACAAACAAAAAAATCCCTCTGAGCTGAAACTAAATGAGAAGAGAACTACAACCAGCTGACCTAAAAAAGATCTGCAGGAGCTATGCATCAGCTGAGTTTTAAAACCATTCACTATTCATTTCTAACACAAAAGCTGATCTTAGTGAATTTACAAAGGTGTCAGTCAGGGAAATACATTCCTATTTTTGGCAGCAAGAGAAAATAAGCATTAAATTTTTATATAATAAAATAGCAACATTAGGTTTAGAGAACATAAGAATCAAAATTTCCCTAGGTTCAGTTTCATTCATATCTGTGTCATCAGGAAAATAGTAGCAAGAACATAGTGTTGCCAAATTGCTTCTGTCCCACTCCTTATCCTTCCCTGCAAATTCAGAAAAGAAAATTGCTCCAAATCAAGCAGACTAGTATTTCTTCTTTGTTATTCAATTGGAGACCAGGACTGCTGTAAACAATTTATCTCCACATACATATCAATCATATAATATCAAATTTTATTGAAAAAAATAAATAAAATAAACCCACAGCATATTTACGTTTTAAAAAACCTCAAATACTTTTATTTGTCATATAGAATACTAATTTTAATGAGTGTTTCAAGCTTTTAAAAGATTGTAGCCCCATTTCATCATAGCTCCAGAGAACCATAATTGTGGTTCAGCCCCCCCCCAGCATTCTTGGCCTCACAAGACAAGAAATGTATAGATCATCTGTGCTGCAAAGATGACTCACAGTGAAACCAGTGGGGGCTAAATAAAATCCTTGTGTAGCTACATGCATTAATTTTCCAGTATTATTTTAGTTATTAAATCTCAGGATATTACCAAAACTGTTATCTTTGGCTAATTGTATCACCAAAATTATTATTGAATATACTGTGCAACACATATGCAGATATATCAGTTGAAAAAAAAAGAAGTAAACTCATCAATTTCAAGTTTCCCTGTTGATAAACTTTGGAACTGGATGAACTGGCTCTTACATTGTGATGAAAACCCCATATAAAATCTGAAAATTCCTTTTGCCTTTCAGCAGCCCAGGAGTATAATCAGGTGGTTTCTGGACCATCAAGAGGCAGGTTTCTCACCTAGCAATCACATTGTTTGTCCCATACCATCTTTGGTTACCATTCAATGAGGAACTTATTCTTGACTGGCAAAAGCTAAAAAGACAATAAGGACCTGAATCCAAAGCCTTGTGAATTAAACAGAAAAAATTCCCACTGGAATGAAGAGGTTGAGGAGGATACAGCCCTGAGCAATTTACAATATATCTTCTGATCTGTATTTTAAGCCTGGTAGAGATGGAATGTAAAGTATACATTGCACATGTATGACATATGTTTAATATAATTCCAAGGCATATCTTTGATGAAGGTACTGGAAAGGTATGAAAGCAAAAGTAATGTTGTAATTTAAAGCATGTAACCATTTATTTTAGTCTATGTATGTGCATTCACTGATAACACTTTCCTGAATCTTCCAGGCAGGCTTTAATAGAAAGCAGTGATAAATGTCACTTACTAGACACTCTCCACTGATATCATAAAAAAATTTACAAAACACCAAGATACAAATTTCCTCCAGTTTAACTTTTGCTTAAGATAGTGAGGCAAGGGGGCACAAAATCACAAAATGGAATATAGAAACCTTTAGAATTAGATTTCAGTATGTTAAGTTTGATGGCTTTGTAACAGTAGCAATGGAAAATTACTGAGGTGCACGATACATAGAGAAAAAAAAATAGAGTACAGCTAGAGAACATACTGAGAGTTCTCACAAGATAAATCGTTATAGTTGTTATAGTTGTGACATAGTTTAAGAAAAACAGTCTGGAAGAACAGGACACAGGGATAAAGAGCAACTGGGAGCCGCAGGTGTCCAGGATGGGCTACAGTTAAACTAACTGATAAGCAGGAGGACAGGAGGATTATTATGTCTCTGGTGCTAACAAACCAATTAAACTGGTATGAGCATCTACTGCGCATGCTTCAAAGGCTGCCAGAAGTGATGAAGATTGTTGGAAGAAGTAAACGACCCTCAGAGACCACCACCACAATTCTGTGCGCATGCGGGGAGCTTTCTGGAAAATTACGTAATCCATACGTAGCCTCATGAATACGTATGTGTGCCCAGTGGCTATAAAAGGATGGCTTGTGTGGCAATGGGGAGACACATGTTAGGAGGAGCTATCCCCCGTGTCTCCTGGCTCCGCGATAAAGAATACCTGCTTGTCAGCTTGAAAACTTTCTTGGCAAGTTTGTTCCTGGAGTTTTCTCCAAATCAACAGCCAGATGTTGGAGCTTCAGTTCACATAGGTTTCTTTCCCACCAAATGTTTCTGAAAGGCAAAAGCTAACAAAACTCAAGAATATCAGAATGTTTTCTGTTTTCAAACGAGATCTTCCTGATTAAGAAATGCTGAAGGCATTACCAAAGGGTTTTATTGTAAACACTTGAACTAATGTTGGTAAATGTTATTTTTGCTAGACCAAAAAAAGCCAGTTTCAGCCAGCTCCAAGATGGACTCACCACCAACTAAAGCTGAGTCCATCAGAAACAGAAGTCTTGAAGGGTTCTATTTCCTTATTTCCCACATATATTACCATGCAATAATGCTTAATATTATTATGTAAAACTTGAATTCTTCTCAAGTCATGACCATTTTCAAATGAGCTAAAAGAACTAAAAGTGTATAGAATTATTGGAAGTCACTACCATATATACATCTAATTTAAATAAAATATTATTTCTGATGCTGATGCAGCTGTGACTTTAAGTTACATAGTTTTTCACAAGTGCTAACTCTTATGACTATAACTGAAAAGTTAAAGCAAATCCGACTGGGGTAGAACCATTTAAGTGACTAAGGTATGGTTTTCCTAAATATGAATATAATCAAAGCTATAAACAAATAAATTTATATTAGAAACTGACAAGGTTAGTCCTGAAGACCATTTTAGAGCAATTGAAAAGTTGTTCCAAAGCAAAATCATGTTTCTATGCTTTTGCAGTCTAGCCTGAATATTGCGGTATCATCCAAATGCAAGGCTTTTCTTTCTTTTGCCTGTGTTGCTGGGAAGCACCCCAGGGCAAGAAAGTTTATTCCCAAAGAAACCCAAAGAACTTGGTTTGTTGGCTTCAGATACTTAATAGCTTCAGAACGGTTTGTTTCTTTGTATTTTTTTCCCGCACGAATTTTAGCCATCCAGTCTAAGAGTAAATCTTTTGTGACTAGGCATGGTCCGAACTCTCCCTGCAGCTGGTAGGGGAAACAGGGCATTTCTAGGACACATCCATCTTAAGATGGGTGTCTTGACATACCCATCAATGAGAACTGGGGTAAATTTCTACCTACAAGTGCCTTTTCTACAGGACGCTAGATTTTAAATAGCTGAGGCGGATATGTCCTTTCAGGCCAATATACACGTTTTCTTTCTACATGTCAGCCTCAGTCACCAACATCCTCCAATGCAGGACAATGTGTTATCACCAGTAGCAACCCAGTTCGCTATCTACCAGTTTGTTACTGTGCAGGAAGGTGACGTGTAGAAAGACATGATGATGTAACTGGAAATTGCAATTCAAAACTGCTGCCTGAGACAGAAAGAAGCCTTCCCAAGCAACAAAATTTCCTTACTTTTAAATGGTTTTAAGGGATTGGAGCAGAGCATTTAAAACAATTACTACAAACAAGAGATGTGAATTTAAGCCATGTCATGAACTCCTGCAAATTTGCCCAGGAATCTCAACTGTAAATAGCTTCTTCATAACATGTGCTGAGGTTCCGAACCAAGTGGGTGTGACACCAGCCTTATCAATTCTTTTAGCTTGGACTGTAAATCTCATTAATCTCGTACACCCATGGACTTTGTGATCTTGGTAACAATCTTCAAACAACTTTGCATGTGAATATTAATATACAAAAAAAGAAGAGTTCATCCCAATGTGAAGCTAAATTATCTGCAGTGTTTTAGAGATCAGCATGAAGGGATTTTACTTCAACATGTATAGAGTTATATTAATTATTATTAAACGTTTTACCTTCTGCACATTTCCCTGGGACATGGAGGTTTGAGGACAGTTGATCCCTTTTTGGTGAGTTCAAACTTTGTAGCTACATACTCCAATGGGCATGTTTGCCTGTTTAACTGTCCAATTTCCATTGATCCATGGATGTGGCAGGAGGTGCCAGTGCAGCCAAATCAGCTTTTCTAAGGAAAACATTCCTTAAACTTCTTATTATATGCATGTTTTATCTGAATTCCATTTTGTAGACTAATGAGAAACAGAAATAAGCATTTATTCCCTTTTGTGGAACAGATCTAGGAGAAGAGGGGGTTATGCTGGGCATGTTGATTTACCGATGTTGATTTCTGGTTGTTGATTTACCTTCTGTTTTAAGGGCATCTAAAATTGCTGCAGGATCTCTCCTTATGTATTTCTCATTAGTATTTCTGTCAACTGTGTAAACAATTAATTAACTAAATGAGGGGTTTTTGTCTCATTATTTACACCTATTTTTCACTTCTTTCCTCTGCCTATCATCTACAGGTTGAGATCGCTTGCAGAGAGCAGAGCTTTCCCCCTTGCCCATGCTGAAGGAGACAGCTCTTCCAAGGCACATGTACGAGTATTGTTTGAAATCTGGAGACTATGACAAAATGTGCTTATGTTACATAACTCTGCATAACCTTGTTATTGCCAGCTTCATGCTGACAATCACTGATTAACTCAGCCCCAGCACATGTCTGAAGTGAATCACAATGTGATGTCTGATTCCTCAGCAACATTTCACAGCAACCAGATTCTTTTTTTTTGTAACCCCAATTTAGGTAAGTAAATGTGAACATACTGTAAGATTCAAATAATATACTGTACATTAGACTCCCAGCTAAAGCCTTATCATATTATCCTTTATAAACTTAGCTCAAAATCCAGAGGGACTCCGGATTGCTTAATTAGTTAATTTCTGTTTTGATTGGAAAGAAGAAAGTAAACCTTTTGGAAATGAATTCATCAATTCAAACTGCATAACAGGCTTTATTGAAATGCAGTCTGCAATGTTCTTAAGTCAGCCTCATCACTGAATGTTGGGACTTATCTTAATTATGGTTGGTTGTAATACTGTACTTATATTAATAATGTTCTTATGTTAAAGAGATTTTTTTGACCTTTTGGAGTGCAGAAATCAATGAGAAGTTGATAAAGCCAAGTTCATTGCTGCCTAAAGTAAAGCAAGCCTGATTTGTTTACTTACCTAAGCCTTCATCTGTCAGACCCATTCTCAAATGATTTATAGACCTCTACCCAACGAAATCATTTAAAGTAGATTAGATTCAAGGAACAATCACCTCTAATATGACAAGCTGATGGAGGCTGACAGGTAACCAAGTTGCTCTGGATGGCAAACAAGTTTCTGAAATTCTGATTAAATTAAAATATTAATGGTACCATGGGGAAAATAAGATTGAATCATGTTAGGCGAATTCAGTATTAGAACCAAAATGCAAATAGCGAATCATTCTGTGTGAAGAAAGCCAGCTGAGGTACCAAGGGAAGTTACCTCCAGTAAAGGAGAGAGCAGGAAGTGAATTCAAATGAAAAGCATTGTGTCAAGAGCTCACCTTCACCTTTCTGAGGTCTCTGAAACAACAAGGCCTAACAGGCTCTGGGGTTGGTCTGAACACTTTTGAGAGGTTACATATTTATTTGGACTTGCAGCCTAGTACTAATGAACAACTCCTGCTTTCCTAAGGTTATAAGGTTATTCTTTGAAGCACTGATCCATGCTTTTTTTATCCTTTCTTCATGTTTGTTTAGTTTCTGTTTTCAATCCTGTACATTAAGTGGCTCTGGCTGCACTATAATTGCTATATACCTAAATGTATTGACACTGCCTGCTTTGGGATCTGCATTAATTTTGACATACAGGGTAATTAAATGTGCTATTCGTCTCACGTGCGTTAAGGAACAATAGGTGCCTTATCTGCCAGACATACTGAAGTATGCAATTACAACATGTTAAGAGTAGTTGTGTTTTGCCTCACAACACCTTTTATTAAGGTTCTTTTAAATATCTTTAAATGTTTTTTAATGGCAGCTGTGAAGTAAAGGCTATCCATCACAGCTAATATTGATGGGATTTATCTCATCACACTTTTGACAGGGTAGACATCTTCATCTGATCTAATTGCTTAGGCCCCCTTTTTAGTCAGCAGAGAAAAAGACCTGCTTATAGATTGCCAGTCATCTGGTCTGTTTTTTATAGTGCACTTGGCTGCAATAAACTACAATCTGAACACCAGATACACACCCCACACACACCATTCTGTATCTTCCAGGGGGATGATGCTTGGTAGAGGCAGCAGGAAGCACCTAGAAAAAATGGTAACTGCATTCACAGTGCCTCTCTAAATAGTAAAGTGCCAATTTAATTTCAGAGCAACAGAGTTCTCCTGCTTTTTCCCAGAACGTACTGTATAAATTGTTGTGGCAATGGTCAGTCCAACGAGATCCACAGCTAGATGAAGAATGTGATTAACAGGAAAACAAAACAGCAGCAAGACAGCAGCAGAAAGATCCTTCCAGAGACCCTTATGTACAAGGAAGGATATGTTTTCCAGAGAAAAAAAAAAAAAAGAAAAAATATTGTTATGGAGTATGGAAGCAGTGGAAGTAGGGAAAAGACATGCATGAAGAACTGACCATGGTGGGTAAAAATGAGAAACAAAAAGTGGTTTTATCATCTCAATGGGAAAAAAAAAAAGGGGTCAAGAAGAGGTACTGCCAGGAGAATTCCCTAGACAATGGATCAGCTCACAAAGATATTTGATGAGTTTTGTGACTACAAAAAAAAAAGAAAAAAAAGATGATGGAGACTTGGGCAGAAGGAGAGGCTGCTGTTGTTTTCTGACCTGAAACCAACAAGGAAGGAGGAATTTATTTACATTTCAATGCCACAAACAATGGCTATGTCAACACTCACATTACTAGTTAAAATCCTATTCAATTCTAGCTGGACTGTTGGAACTGCGGCAGTGTAATCTCACCAGTGGCAATACAAGAGTGAAAATGACCAGCAATCAGAAGAACCTGAAGCAGTTTGGTGGAGCTAAGAGACTGAGGTGCACATGGATCCTGGGGGAGCACCAAGACACAAAGAGGCCTAAGAGAAAGAAAAAGTGCCCCACTGGTTGCTTTAGAGCATCCAAGTAATGGATAACCAGTTTGACAACCAGCATATTCTGGTTTGAAGAAAATAATTGACAGCACCAATTATTAAAGAAATAAAGAAGCATCTTCATCACTACTAAGAAAAAAAGAAAAAAGTAATTTTAAGAAGGAAGAGGCAGAACAAAGCCTGTAAATATGACTTGCAGATTGTCTGCTATGTCTCAGTTTGTAGGTACTGTGGTAATAATAGGGAGGAAGTTTAAGCTTAGCAACAATGGAGCCTTTGTGCTCTTACCACATGTGACAAATGAAAAAAAGTATAATATAGTAGAATATAGTAGTGTATAACCTATACTAAAAGCATGGTTAGGGAAAAATGTTAGGTACTCAGAAGTTTAACTCATGCCATTAGGGAAAAGCCTAGTAGAGCTCACACAATGCACATTTTATGTATCTTCCCCAGTGTCTGAAGCAAATTCTCAGACATCTGTGAATCATTATTTCCACAGTTCAACTACTTCTGTCTATACAATGTGGTTCTAAGATACGGGAAAATCTCCTTTGGCCAAATGGGCAGAGTACCATGGGAAAATACCATTTTCCTACACTTGCTGTCCAGACAATAATGATCTTGCTATGTTGTAAATTATGATGGGATGCTATGTCCAAGGTTTAAAAAAAAAAAAAAAAAAAGCCTAAGTCTTCATTTCCTAATGATGTTAGAAATTGCTTTCCTCTCAGATTTTCAACATGTTTCATCAAGCCATCATTTCGTGAGTGCTTTGAAAATTGTTCAATGTCCTTAGGTACCTAAGCAGATATCAGGTTCTTTGAAGTTTTCGTTTTTAAAAGGTTTGACCTCTAGGTACATTTCACATTGTAGTAGTGGAAGTGTGTCTGTAAGGTATTACTTCTAGTCTTGCTATATTTCTGCCATTCAGGATATTAACTACTTAGTCATTAATTTTGGTCCTATCACTGTCAGACACATGTTGTCATACAGGACAACTCTAAAAGTCTAGTTTCTCTTAAAAAATTCAAAACTATTCTAATATTTTGACAGTTAGCTTTCATATCTTTACAGCATTAATCCATCATTATACAAAAAGGAGCAAATCATCCATTATGTAAAATCCAGGATGTAGAAAGTATGAGCATTTCTGCAGTAGAATCTTGAGCAAGAAGATGGGGACAAAATTTCAGAGTAAAGAATCAGTGTACTTCACCCATAAGGACAACCAGCAAAGGGATTTTTGAGAGAACACAAGTTGAGAGTGAATGCAAATTTATGTTCCAAGTTTAAACTTTTCCCCTGAACTTTCTTTTTAAAAACGTGAAAATTTTAATGAGACAGAAACAGCACTGTCCTGAGCACTCCC